TAACGAGTGCGTCAGCTGGTGGGCCCATAGGAACGTAACGGCTCTATACCATGTCAAAGTACTAACGTACTAACGTAAGGGTTTAGGGCCTAGGCTTAGAAGCCTAGGCCAACGTATGTCGAGAGAGATCGTGGCCAAGGAAAGCGAGAATGGTTGGCTTTACTATAGGTTTGCAAGAACATATAGCAAAGAAACAAAGAAGGTGCACCACCAAACAAGGAATGAAAGAACTACACTCCAATAACTACAGCAAGCAGGATAAATATTAAATATAACTTAAAAACTTGGGTTGGGTGCTGAGCCTTGGGTTGCTGAGTCTCAGGGTGCGGAGCCTGGGGGTGTTGAGCCTGAGCGTGCGGAGCCTGGAGGTGCTGAGCCTGAGCGTGCTGAGCCTGGAGGTACTTTGTCCTCTGGAGGTCCTACAGGTGTCTTGTCACGGCGGAGCCGCTCTCTCCGCTGCAGCTGTGCGAGTGGTTTGCTCGGCGCTGGAGCCATGCTGCTAGAGGTGCTGGAGGCGCTGGTTTCGAAGGTGCTTGTACTAGAGGTTCCGGGGCTGCTGGAGCTGGAGGTGCTGCTGCAGTTGGAGGTACTGCTGCTACTGGAACCGCTGGTCCCGGAGGTGCTCGTACTGGAGGTACTGGAGCTGCTGGAGCTGGTGGTGCTGCAGGAGTTCGAGCTGGAGGCGCTGGAGCTGTTACTGCTGGAGGTGCTGCTGGAGCTGGAGCTGCTGGAGGTGCTGGAGCTGGTGGTACTGCAGGAGTTGGAGCTGGAGACCCTGGAGCTGGGGGTACTGGTGATGTCTCTGCTAGTTCTGGAGGCGCTGCGCGGCCGCGGCCGTACTTCGTTCCACTCCTTCAGCAGGTTCTTGGTCGCCCGCCTTCTACTGGTCCTACTCCACCCTTACTGTGTCCACCGCCTGACCAGTCGCAGTCACAGTTACAGCCAGCCTCCCCACTGCCTGGTCCTTCTCCTTGCACTGGGCCGACCGGAGGTCTTGCGGAGCGTCGTGAGCCTGAGACTCGTCCTGCGTCGCCTGTTCGCACTGTTCGCACTGGTCGTCGTGTTCCGCATCAGCGTCCTCCTCCTGTCCCTGGCACGCACTAGATGGCACTTCGTCCTTCCTCTGTTCCACTGCGTGTCCCTCTGCCGTCTCCTCCTGCGTCTCTTCCTGACGTCCCTGACCCGCCGTCAGACCTTGCTCATGCTGCCAGTCCTACTGTCACACGTCTACTAGCTACTGCTGTCACTGACCCTTCGTTTGAGTCCTCTGCTGCGTCTGCCCTAGTTGCCGAGTTGGTCGACTTTGTTGCCGCCTGTCGTCTAGACTACGCCGCTAGTCATATTGCTGAGTCTGAGTCTGTCTGTCCTCCGTCCGTCGGGGGTGAGTGTGCTCTTTGCACGGATGTCCTTGAGGACAGGCAGGAGGACTTTGAGTGATTTGCAGCTGCTGTACCTCATCTCGTGTCCATGCTGATTGCACCTGAGGGAGACCCGCATGCACCAGACATCCCCACCCCGCGCTCTTACGCAGAGGCGATATAGGGTCCCTACTCCTCTCAGTGGCAGTCAGCTATGGACGCAGAGATGGCATCCTGGAAGTCCACAGGCACTTACGTCGACGAGGTTCCCCCTCCTGGGGCGAACATCGTCAGTGGCATGTGGATTTTCAACGTGAAGCGGCCGCCGAGTTCTCCGCCTGTCTTCAAGGCGCGCTACGTTGCACGAGGCTTCAGTCAGCGACAGGGAGTTGACTTCTTCCAGACCTTCTCCCCTAACCCGAAGATGACCACTCTTCGGGTTCTGCTGCACGTCGCCGCTAAGCGTGACTACGAGCTTCACTCTCTTGACTTCAGCACTGCTTGTACGAGAAGATCTGGTTGCGTCGCCCACTTGGGTTCACTGGGTCGTTTGCTGCAGGTACCCAGTGGAGCCTTTGGCGGCCAGTCTACGGTCTCCGCCAGGCACCTCGCGAGTGGCACGACACACTGAGGACGACTCTTCCGGCTCTTGGGTTTGCTCCTTCCACTGCTGACCCGTCGCTGTTTCTACGCACTGACACTTCGCTGCCGACGTTCTACATCCTCGTGTACGTCGACGACTTGGTCTTTGCCACTGCTGACACAGCTAGACTGGCCCACGTGAAGTCGGAGCTGCAGAAGAGACACACTTGCACAGACCTGGGTGAGCTGCGCAGCTATCTTGGCTTGCAGATCACCCGGGACAGAGCACGGCGCACCATTACCTTGACTCAGTCACACATGGTGCAGCAGGTCCTTCAGCGCTTCAACTTCCAGTACTCCTAGCCACAGTCCACTCCTCTGCCTACCGGTCACTCGCTCTCAGCTCTGCCTTCGGATGAGTCCGTAGAGCCGAGTGGCCCGTATCAAGAGCTTGAGGGCTGCCTCATGTACCCGATGACCTGCACTCGACCTGACCTTGCTTACCCTCTTAGCATCCTGGCACGCTAGGTTGCGCACGGGAGACACCGACCAGAGCACTGGAAGGCCGCTAAGAGGGTGGTGCGCTACTTGTACAGTACGTCGGGCATGGGGCTCGTGCTTGGAGGACGGGCTCAAATTGTCCTCACTGGTCACGCAGACGCTTCTTGGGTTGACGACTTGGCTACGTAGCGGTCATCACAGGGTTACACCTTCATCCTTGGCTCCGGTTCTGTTTCCTGGCGGTTTACCCGCTCGTCTTTTGTTCTCAGCTCCAGTTGTGAGGCTGAGATCTACGCAGGGGCCATGGCTGCACAGGAGTTACGCTGGCTCACCTACCTGCTGACCGACTTGGGAGAGCCGCCTCGTTCTCCTCCAGTTCTGTACGTCGACAACAAGGCCATGATTGCCTTGTGTCAGGAGCACAGACTGGAGCACAGAACGAAGCACATCGCTCTGCGCTACTGCCTTGCTCGAGAGTTGCAGCAGCGTGGTCAGCTTCGTCTTGTTACGTGGCCTCTCAGGCCAACACTGCTGATATCTTCACCAAGGCACATCAGCCTTGTGATCATCAGCGTTTCTACACTGTTCTAGGCCTTGTGCCTACTTGGCCTCACTTGCTCACTTCTTGACTTCGCTTGTACTGTGATCTATATACATATACCTGCGTGCTTACACTTGCTAGGTTGTGATCACTGTACTGCTTGTTCTTCTTTATATATAACTCTGCATGTGAACTAGCCTTTTGGCCATTTGCTTGTGCTCGGACTGCGTGGTGACGTTGTGATCCACCCTGAGCTTGACATTGCTTTGTTCTCTTGCTTGTCCCCCACTTTGCCTATGGAGGTGTGTCGGAACTATGCATTTATATGTTCTAGGCTGTAGTAGGGCACTCCTTATGGGGTACAGCCTAATTAGGTTTTGCTATACAAACCTTGTACTGCTGTCATTCTAGTCACTCATTCTTCCTTGATTCTGACAACTGGAGCACAGAACGAAGCACATTGCTCTTCGCTACTTCCTTGCTCAATAGCCGCAGCAGCTTGGTCAGCTTCGTCTTTCCTACGTGGCCTCTCGGGCCAACACTGCTGATCTTTACCAAGGCCCTCGGGTTTGGTGATCATAAGCGCTTTTGCACCGCTCTTGGGCTTCTGCCTACTCTCCTCACCTGCTTGTCTCTTGATCTTGCACTTGTTGTACACTAATATATATTTCTTTATACCCGCATGTTTACTCTTGCTAGATTGTAATCAATGTACTGCCTTGGTTTCATAACTCTACATGTGAACTAGCCTTGTGGCCGCTTGCTTGTGTTCAGAATGCGTGGTGATCTTGAGATCCACTCTGGGCTTTGCTTTGCTTACTTCTCCTGACTAGTCTTGTGACCACTATTTGGTTTGGCTATCCCCTTCTTCACCTATGGGGGTGTGTAAAAAAATATATGCTTTCTATCTTTATAGGCTATGTAGGGGTTATCCTTAGAGGGTACACCACATTTCTCGACATTCTTGTACCCCCCACCTTACCTAATCAACACTTCTCCTCTCTACTCTAGTCACCTACGACTACTAGTCTAGGTTAGATTCTAAAATCGAGTTCCTGATTTGATGGAAAGATCGCACGCCTACCGATGACAATTGGGTGCCCTTGGATAAAACTGAGAACCACCCTATCCTCACGGAGTATCTATCAGCCGCAATTTCCGGGATGTGCACGCACTTTTGTAAGGGAGCCTCCTTTGGGGGGGAAGGGGGGGGGGGGGGGGGGGGGGTGTAAGGAAAATTCATTTTTTATTACTTCGCGTCACTGCTAACCGCATACACGACTGTTCCCGCCAACAATTCCCAACAGTGCACCGTTACCACCCGCGACACTCGCCTCGAACACGCCACTATTCACGCCGCGACCCAACCTCACGGTTCAGTTGGAACCCGTGCTCCGGACCTCCGCCTCGACATTTCCAAACCTCGCCGCTAGGCCCGTAGCGCACCCCAATTTCTCACGGTGTCGTTACCTCACTAGCTTCGCTATATAATCTTCGCTCATTCCTTCGCTCGGTGTACTGTTTTGCTTAGATTATGCATTTTTCGCTCTCTCGATCAATTGCACTCGTAAAAATGACCGAGTTAGAATCTGAATTCCTAAACTTTTGGTGATGTCATGCTGTGACCGAGGTAAATTCTGAATTCCTTCTCAACGAGCTAATCCCGTAACTGGTGTAGGGTTGACGTGGCATTGTGCCGGGGTTTTCTTGTTATCCAGCCAATCATCACCTCCGTCTCCCCTTTCCTCGCGCAGCTTGGTCCAACGGGGTCTTGATTCAATGACGTGGCTTGATCGGTGATGTCAGCAGTGACGGTGGGTAGGTGCAGAGAGCGGCGCGGATAAACCCTGCGAGGGGGGGTTGCGCAAATGCTCCCCGCTGGGTGCTTCAAATCAAACCCTGCCTTCCGTGAGTTCCTATGTTTCAACGCTCAAAGCTTCAGAGTCCGCTTGACCACCTGAAGCTGTTCTTTTTGCAACTCTCTCATCGCTACTCGCCCTTGTTGCTGCTTGCCCGCCATGGCGTCCCTGAAGGCCCACTTTACCACAATACCCGCCGCGTCGCCGGCGGTTGCGCCTTCACTTAAGTCTCCTTCGCGTGATCTGCACTTCAACCGAGCGCCGTTCTTCGCCGCGCACGTCGCGTGCAAGGCGTCCGGCCCCAGCCCAAGGTGCGCGCTTCTCCATCCTTGCGCTTGCTCCTCCGCTTTCGTTCTTCCGTCTCGTTTCAAGACTTCACCCTTTCACTTCTGCGCCCTGTTGTTGACACCATCGTGTGCTGTGGCGTGGCTGCTGATCTCTTCCCCCATGACCGCACAGCCACTGCGCCAGGCGGAATGGTGCTCTTAGCGTCGCCGCCGTTGCCGTTCAAGGTTGGTTGCCTCTCGTTTTTTATGCCAGAAGCCGCTTTGCTCGTCGCGCAATCTTTACCTGATTAAAGATCCTTCCTCATCTGCCTTCGCCACGCTACTCGCTTATTCCCTTCCCCCTCTCCCCCCTATTGCTGTCTCGCCGGTCGGACGCCGCCAGCCGACAGTCCCGCGTCGGTGTTTGCGGACCCGCCGCTGGCGGAGGCGGACCCCGAGGTGGCGGCGGTGATCGCGTCGGAGCGGCGGCGGCAGGAGGAGGGGCTGGAGCTCATCGCGAGCGAGAACTTCACGAGCCGCGCCGTGATGCAGGCCGTGGGGTCGTGCCTCACCAACAAGTACTCCGAGGGGCTGCCGGGCAAGAGGTGCGCCCCCGGGGGGAGGACGGAGTCGGGAGGGGTGGTGGAGGGAGGGGGGTGGTGCATGGGGGCACAAGAAACGCGACCTGCTAAAGGAACAGGAATATATGCAGATGCGGTGCGCGAAAGAAGGGAGGCTGTTGGGCTGCGGTACGGGTGGCTTTTTGCGGGAAAGAAACGTGCGCCACACGCCAGTTGTTGCCCTTGTACAGAGCGATCTCATAATTGACCCCGTGTGTGGTGCGCATGTGCTGCGGCGCGGCAGGTACTACGGCGGAAACGAGTTCATCGACCAGAGCGAGGTGCTGTGCCAGCAGCGCGCGCTCGCGGCGTTCCGCCTGGACCCCGCGCAGTGGGGCGTGAACGTGCAGCCGCTGTCCGGGTCGCCCGCCAACTTCGCCGTGTACACGGCGCTGCTCAAACCGCACGACCGCATCATGGTGGGCCGCCGCTCCGCCCTCCCCGATCTCACTCGCCCTCGCTATGCGCTTCCCCGCTCTCCCCACTCTCCCCACTCCTCCCCCCGCCCCGCCTCCCCACCCCTCCCCCTCGCTCCCCCGCTCCTCAGCCCAACCCCTCCATCTTTTTCGCCCTTGCGTACCTCCGTGGCCCCTCCTTGTTTTTATCGCGCTCGCTGATCGCTTTCCCGACACGACGAGCCCTTTATTTCGAGCTGAGATCTGTCTGTCGTCTTGTGCTGCCATGTGTGCGTGCGCGCGCCAGGGCCTGGATCTGCCGCACGGGGGGCACCTGTCGCACGGGTTCATGACGGCGAAGCGGCGCGTGTCCGCCACGTCCGTGTACTTCGAGTCCATGCCCTACCGCCTCGACGAGTCCACCGGTACGCCCTTCCGCTCGCCGCCGCGTGCCGCGTGCTGCGTGGGAGGGTGGGAGGAAAGGGTGGGGGAAGGGGATTGGCAATTTGGCACATGTAGCGCGTGCTCGTTACATGTAGCGCGTGCTCGTTACATGTAGCGCGTGCTCGTTACATGTAGCGCGTGCTCGTTACATGTAGTGCGTTCCGTACGACGCGCATGACCCTTGTTTTTCTTCGCCTCGACTCGCTCGCTCGCGTGCGCGCCTCATTCCCTCCCGTCCCATGCCATGCGCGCGCCACCCCCCCCCCCCCCCCCGACGGCAGGGTTGGTGGACTACGAGGCGCTGCAGCGGTCGGCGCTGCTGTTCCGCCCGCAGCTCATCATCGCGGGCGCCAGCGCGTACCCGCGCGACTACGACTACAAGCGCATGCGTCAGGTGCCGCCAGGGGGGGGCAGAGGGGAGTGGGAGGGGCGGTTGGCGGGGAAGGCGGTTGTGTAGAGGGGATAGGGGAGAGAAGGGAGATGAGACGGCAGCGGGGTTTGAAGAGGATTGGAACGATGCATTTTGAGTCGATGAACCTCACAAGTGGAATGACAATGGTTGCTGCGTGGTGAACACAGAGCTTGGTTCTGTTGCCTTAACCGACTTGTTTTACTCCTCTCTTTTGTAACCCCTCTTCCCCCCCTCCCTTCCCCATCTCTCCCCCTTCCCCACCCCCCCACTCCCCCTCACTCCCCCCTGCCATTTTCCGACGGCCCTTGTATACCGTTGTCTCCCATGTTCGTCCACGCGTGGCGGGCGGCAGATAGCGGACAGTGTGGGCGCGTTCCTGCTGGCGGACATGGCGCACATCAGCGGGCTCGTGGCGGCGGACGTGGTGGCCAACCCCTTTGAATATGCTGACGTCGTCACCACCACCACGCACAAGGTACACCGCCTGCGCGCCTCTTGCTGCTCCTCTCAACGCTCGTCCTGCTCCCCCCTCGTGCTGCCTTGCCTTCCTCCATAGTGTTATGCAAGCCCCCCCCCCCACCCACTCACCCCCCTTCCTCCCACTCCCCGGTGCACACGTGGCGTTGGTGGCATGGCAGTCGCTGCGGGGGCCGCGAGGGGGGCTGATCTTCTTCCGGCGGGGCGAGATCAACGGCATCGACATGGAGACGGCCATCAACAACGCTGTCTTCCCCGGCATGCAGGTCGCCCTCCCTCCCTCCCACCCTCCCTCCCACCCTCCCTCCCACCCTCCCTCCCACCCTCCCTCCCACCCTCCCTCCCACCCTCCCTCCCACCCTCCCTCCCACCCACCCTCCCACCCTCCCTCCCACCCACCCTCCCACCCTCCCTCCCACCCACCCTCCCACCCTCCCTCCCACCCACCCTCCCACCCTCCCTCCCACCCACCCTCCCACCCTCCCACCCACCCACCCTCCCACCCACCCACCCTCCCACCCACCCACCCTCCCACCCACCCACCCTCCCACCCACCCTCCCACCCACCCTCCCACCCACCCTCCCTCCCACCCACCCACCGCCCAATGTGGTTGTCCCCGCCTACCCTTTTCATTTCGCGCTCTGTCTCTCCCCCTCGTGCAGTCCTCCTTCCCGTCCTTAACAACCTTTCACCCTCTCGTGCTCATTCCCCACTGCAGGGTGGCCCACACAACCACACGATTGGCGGCATCGCGGTGTGCCTGAAGCAAGCTGCCACGCCCGCCTTCAAGGACTACCAACTACAGGTTCGCCGCTTCCCCGCTCTCCACTTCCACCCTCCATCCTCTCCCCTATCCCTGCCTCCCTCCGTTTTCCCTCCGGTTTACGCTCCTGTATCCTGCATCCCTGCCGTCTTCCGGTTGACAGGTGAAATTGGTGCATTCTGTGTCCCTGCCTGCCAACCTCACCCTCTATCCGTCCTTCCCCCCTCCCCCTTCCCCCACCCCGTGTCCACGTGGCTGTGCGGGCAACAACCACCACGGGGCGGGGGGGCAGGTGAAGGCGAACTGTGCAGCGCTGGCGGCGCGGCTGGTGGCGCTGGGGTACACGCTGGTGTCGGGCGGCACCGACAACCACCTGCTGCTGCTCGACCTCCGCCCCCTCGTCCGTGCCCTCCCACCCTGCCCTCCACCCCACCACCCTGCTGCCCCTGCCCCTGCCCCTGCCCCTGCCACTGCCACTGCGCTGCTTCCTTGTGCGCATGCACCACTGCATCAGCAGCCTTGCAGTGACCTCCTTGCCTCCGCTTTGCTGACGTACCTTGATGGTGTGTGTGGGGCATGTGTGGGTGTGGCAGGGGTTGGACGGTGCGAGGGTGGAGAAGGTACTGGACCTGGCAGCCATCACACTCAACAAGAACTCCGTGCCAGGTGCCCTGCCATGCCGTGCTGTACTGTGCCATGTCATGCTGTACTGTGTCGTGTCCATGCCATGCCATACATGTGCCCTCTCATCCATAGAATCACCCGTACTACTGGTTGCAGCTCATTTCAATACGTGGAAAGTAAATGCCCTTCACACACACCCCTTGCCCTCCGCCCCCTTGCGTGGGCAGGTGACAAGAGTGCGATAGTGCCCGGGGGCATCCGCATCGGCACACCGGCGCTCACCACGCGCGGCTTCAAGGAGGACCACTTTCACCAGGTGCGCCCCCGCCATGCCACCCCGACCTACGCTGCCCTGCTCTCACGTCAAATGGTTGCTGCGTCGATGCAATACCTGCTGCCAGCTCGTAGTCACAGTGCGTGTGCCGTGTGCGGTGGTGTGCGTGTGCGATGGCAGGTGGCGGAGCTGTTGCACGAGGGCATCAACCTGGCGCAGCGCGTCAAGGCGTCCAGTGACGAGGCAGTGCGCGCGGCAGGGGGAGCGGGCGCCAAGGTGAAGGACTACATGGCGTACGTGCAGGGGGACGCGTGCAAGGAGCGCGAGGACATAGAGGCGCTGAAGCAGCGCGTGACGGCGCTGGCCACGCAGTTCCCCATGCCCGGCGTGGACATTGACAACCTCGCCCGGTGATTTGTTCATCCACATGTACCTTTGGCAGTGCACGGGACATTGTGACAGTGCGTTGCAATAAGCTGGGTGGAGTGGAGGCTAAGTCTGTACACCATGTGCCTAGACGGGCATTACTACCATGACAAAAGCACAAGCAGCTTCTAGGATGGAATGAAGAGGATCTAACCAAAGGCTCACTGAGTTACATTAAGTTCCTCTGTCTAAGGAAAACAATAGTTCTTTTAACATTTTGCACTGAGTTAGAATGGCCAACAGATGCAATACTCAATGATACCGGTTGAGAAGGTGGAGCAAAGGAAGTATATACTCAGGGTACATTCCTGTGTAGACACTTGTGTCTCAAACCGTTTGTGACACCCAAAAACAGCATATAACCGTTTTACTTATCATTGCACAACGTGAATTGCGGTATTATCGCGGACGAGTTGTACGAGGCCCCGTCACACATTGAACGTCGCACGCGTGTCGAAATGTCAAGCTTTACAGCGGCTCGAGCGCATGCATCTGGACGCTCGAGGGTGTGACAGTTTAGGGCGGGAAAAGCAACCGCCCTGACCGTGTATCCAATCGAGTGGTTTCCACGACAGCAGACAACGCCATCCTGCCCGGCAACCAAACCCCAACTTCCGGACCCTTCCAAGAGCTCACCTACATCAAACTCCTCGGCCATCACCTTTCCAGATCTATTCTCACCTGTCCTCTCCCGTATCTCCATAACTTCTCTCTCCGGCAGCCATGGCTAGGAAGCGCAAGTCAGCAGCTGACGCTGCTACCGATGTCCCGCGGGATCTCAACGAGATCCCGTACATCGCATGGATCAACAAGCAGATTGCGGCGGGGCGCAAGCCCACCGGCCCGCTGCCTGAAGGATTACCGTCTCCTGGAGCGACCTCGTACGAAGCGCCGCGTGACGTGCCCACGCGCGGGCGTCGGGACGCCGACAGGGTTGCGTCCTCGCGCGTTGTCGACAGCTATGCGCAGGACAACGATGACGAGGACGACTGCGACTACAACGAGTACGCGGTCGGCACCGACGACGAGGCGGACTCAGGGGAGGAGCCGGACAAGGGAATGTCTGACTCTGAAGACGACGGTGAGGGCGACGAGTCCGGGGATGATGCTGACGCCCCGGAAGAAACGCAGCCCGCTGCTCCGACCACGCGTGCCGGCCGTGCTAAGCCCGCAGCCCGTGTTGCCACCGCCTCAAAGGGAGGCGAGCCTTCACGCCGTGCCCCAAAGACCCGCAACCAGATACCTGTGAAGCGCAGCGTCTGGTCACCGCTGGAGAGCACCATCTTCGTCGCGGCCCGGTGGTTCATGAGGGACGAACTCGAGTCCCTGCTCGGGAAGCAGGGCTCCCAGTATTGGGCGCGCCTTGTGGCTCACCTGGAGAAGGAGAACCCGGGGTGGGTCCGTGGCGTCAACGCCGTCCAGAAACAGTGGCGCAACCTCGTCCAGGTTTACAAGCAGCTGAAGAAGGCGGAGAAGGCGTCGGGCAAGGGTACCGTTTGCAAGCCCCCGTGGTTCCCGTACATGGAAGCGTTTCAGAACAACAGGGCCGTCGCCAACCCGCATGCAGTGGCAGCAGGCGGCGCGACGACCGTTAACGCGCCGTGCGGCTTCACTGTGCCTTCTACGTCGGCGCCCACCACGTCTACTCCGACCTTCACGGGTGCGTGCATCGTTCCTTATTTCGCATGATCTGATATTGTGACATTGACTTTGCTTCTGCAGCTACCGTTTGAGCTTGAGTTGTTTGGTTCGTAGTAGAAGATGGTTGATTAGACATTGGTCACCATACCGTACACATATGCTTCCTAACCGACCACCCCTGCCCATGCTTGCGTGCGCAGCCCCTCCCCCGCAGTGCACCCCACCCTCCAAGCGCCCGCGCGTAGCGGAGACGGCCACCATGGCGGCCGCAAAGCTCGTTTGTGAGACGATCAAGGGCTGCCACGACGACGCGATGTGCAAGCTCGAAGGGCTTGTCCGCGCCTGGATGCAACAGGACGAGCGTATTGCGCGCGAACGCCTCCATCAGCCTGCGCCCGCGCCGCCTGCGAACACTCCCCACCAGACGACCCCGAACGCTGCCGATGGCGGCAACGACGGATGGTTCCGTCGCGGGCAGACTGGCGACGCTGAGGCTAGCCCATATGAGGCCGAGGAGGTGTGGGTTCGCGGCGCCGCCGAGTAAGGTAAGACGACTCCAACGCCTCACCTAGCCGCTTGCGCCTATCCTTTAGGGTAGCTTGCGTTAGAGGGACACATGGCTCCCACTTGAATTCGGCCACCGCGCCTCTTGTCCACCAAGGGTCACGATTCCGGGGCAGTGAGGCCCACACCTCATTGACGCGCCTCACCTGCCCCATCGTTTCGCACATGTTGTGCAGGATTACGCAGCAGGACACACCCGCCAGCACGCGCCACAGCTGGCAGTCGTTGCGGCCCGCGAATAGTCGCCATCTGCCCTTGAAGGCACCGATGCAGCGCTCAACTGCCATGCGCGTGGCGCTTTGGCAGTAGTTGAAGCACTGCGCCCAGTCTTCCATTAGGCCCTCACGGGGTGCATGTAGGGGGGTCAGGCAGAAATCTCTGATAAGGCGCTATGTCGCCGTTGTGCAACCTCTCTTGTAATGCACTGTTCATGAACACCCGTTGATCGTGTGCACTTCCTGGGTACCCAATCAGGTAATCCCAGATGATTCCACGCGCCTCGCATGTGAGCTGCAATTGGACGGCGTAAGCCGACTTCCTCGTATAGTACTCCTGCCTGTGCCCTTCCATTCCTTTGATGTGGATGTGTGTCCCATCTATAGCCCCCACCACAGCAGGTACTCCCTTGACAGCTCGGAACTCCTCGGCCATCTCGGCAAGATCCTCGGCAGTTGGGAAGTGCACCCACTGCTGCTTGAAGACGCTCGGGAAGTGCATCAGCCACACGTCAACGAGGGCGTGGCAGAGGGTCTTCGAAAGTCCAAAGAATTGCGAGAGGTCCACGTACGCCATACCACTTGCCAGATACTTTATTGCTACCAAGTTGGCTATGTCGTGCGTGATGAAGTGGCGCTCGACGTATGGCAGCATGTAGTATGTCATTCCTGCCACAATGTATGCAAGGATGGCACGGTTGATCCTGAAAAGATCCCTGAACTCCCTGTCCCCCATGCCCGCCAGGTCTTCGCCCAGCAGCGTGTATCTTTGCCTACGCAGGCGTGCCCTCCTCGTACGCTCGGCCGTCCTGTTGGAGCTTTGCGAGCTCTCGGCGGACGAGTATTCGCTATCGAAGACATCGCCTTCCAGCATGCCGCCGACAGCACGTCCTACTACGTCCATGAAGATGGTGTAGTAGAATGTGATCCATGCCACCAGGAGCCGCATGAGAAATGGCACAGCTCGCGGCTCTGCCATGGCTGCACCCTTGGCAAGGGATGTAGGGTGCAGGGGTTGTGATAGCTAGGAAATAGACACATACGATGCTCCGTCGTGGGTTTGTACGTGATGCTGTGATGTATCGATCTGCCAAGCACCAGGAGTTTGGTGTGTTGCCTCCTCCGCAATTGTTTACAGGCATGCCCGGGGCCAAACATTCGAAACAAAGTCGCTTTGTTGCGAGCCACTCAAATACGGCCACATGTACACACGTTCCTGTCGCACAATGTCGCGATACATCAGCTGTTTGTGACGCTCGAAATTGTAAATTTACAGACGCGACTCGGGAAAATGGGCATTGAGACACAAGTGTCTACACAGGAATGTACCCTCAATACTATACATGTAATGCAGAGACATATACAATATCGTTCATTCTAGCCTTGCTTGTTACACGCGTGTTCAGTGACCATATGGTGCATTCACCTTCAACTCCGCTTAGTGCCCAATGTTTGTCTCACTCTCAATACAACTCTCTTTGCCATTACTGCTGCCACCACCCCGGCCGCTGGTCCTGCCAGGACATGCAAGCTTGTGGGAGGGCCAGTGCGCCTTCTGGCAGTCTCTGCTGCAATACGCCACCTTGCCACACCCGGAGCAATTCCTCAGCTTCACAGCACCACCACCCTCCACCCTCCCACACCCCGCAGCTCCGCACACACGCCCGCTACAAGCAGCATCGCCAGGGCATTGTGCAACTGAAACGGAGGCAGCTGCATTGCTTGGTGCACGTGCAGTGATTGGCGCAGCAGGGGCGGAAGAGGGCACATGCCTTGTGGAGACAGACGCACTCGGTGCAGCAGGATGGGTGCACGATGTAGCAGGGGAGGCACGGCGGTAGCACACCTCCCCCACCAGCATCTCCCGCAGACATGCCAGCAAATTGATCCCCCCGGGCCATGGCTTCAGATAACCTGGCAATTCCCCCTTTCCTTCCTCTCACTCGCTCTTCCCACCACCGCCATCACTGGCCCCACTGCGGCTGTCCGCGCACGCAACGCCACACCCACCCTGACTCGCCAGCATGTGGTCATGAAACCTGGGTGTGGCAGCCTGCGCCCACATGTCAACGCCCCACTCGTGTGACGTGGGCGCTCCTGCCTGCCTGGGCAGCACATGGCTGCTGGCCTTACCGCACGACACATGGAGCCCCGGCCCCATGACCTTGGTGCTGGAGCGCCATGCGCACATCATGGCAAAGCACCACGACTCCACCTCCACCCACACCTCCCCGCTGTCCACACCCCCTACACTGCCCCCGCTCCCCATCACCCTCTCCATCCTCCGTGCAATCATTTCCATGTCCCCGCTGTGTGAGCCCACGTCGCGTGCGTCACACACCCCCATGATGGGCTTCGCATGGTACAGCGCCACACCCAGCAGGAAGAAGAGCGGCATCACACTCTCCCTCATGCCCGCATCCTTGGGTAACTGCGTCAGCTGCTCGCCATCATGGTGCACGCCACTCATGCCCCGCCGCACGCACGCACGGCTGGACTCGTTGATGAGCCGGATGTGCTCCGCCACGGTGAGAGGCAAGCGCAGCAGCAGCGCCTTGAGCAACCGGTCGAGCTCAGGGGAGCGCACGGGGAAGGCGGAGAGGAAGCGCGTGACGAGGGCGTCCACGGGGCGATAGGCGAAGCTGGCGATGAGAGCACAGCACGGCACGTGGTTCATGAAGATGCCCACGCACTTGAGGCACTGGGAACAGTTTGGGACCTTGAACATGGCCGCCAGGAAGGCCAGTAGAAAGTCCACATCAGCGCGGCACCGCATGATGGGCAGCCACGGCTGCGAGTGGTCCTTGCTGTGCCGTGGCGGCGGCAGCACGGTTGTGTGTGCTTCAACTCCTTTCCCCTTCCCACGCCCTGTCACCGTTTCAGGCCCCGCTTCCGCCTTCTTGCCACCACTCCCGTTCCCTCCTTTCCCCCTCTTTCCTGTCCCCTTCACAGCCTTGCCCTTCCCTGCTGCTCCTTGCACATACTCCGATGGCCCCTGCCCACCCGCCTCTGCCACGTCACCCTCCTCTACCACCTCACTCTCCTCTAATAAGCCATCCTGAGAGCCGCTCTCCTCGCACATCCCACTCGCCTCCACGATACCAAGTCCAAAGAAACGGGCAGTGAAGTCGTGAGGGAACTTGGCAGCAGCGCCATCGCCCTCAGGCCACTCCTCCCACTCCAGGGGGAAGTTGCTTCCCTCCACCGGCTTGGGAATGGCACCAAACCTGAGCAGCAGGCTCGGAAGGTCCCTAAAGGGGTGACGCATGGGCAGGACCTTCCCCTGAAGGCTATCCCTGAAGCAGCAGTTCTTCGGGATGAAATCTGAGCCGTAGTTTCGGACCCACTGCAAGAGGCAAGCAACTCGATAAGTAAGGACCGCCATAGCGGGGTGGGTGTTGACAGGAACGAGGCCAGGGGCGAGAATGGTACGGGATTGAGCCGCTGCAGTGGACTTTTGAGATGACTCAAAATTGGTTGCAGTTGCTGCAGCGGCAGGAGGAAGAGCATCGGTGGTGGAAGACAGGTGGCATGGTGAGGAGGAGGTTGAGACAGCACGAGTGGCAATGCCAACTGTACCACTGCCATTCAATGCACTGCTTTTGGAGAGTGGGTTTGGCCTACCGGCTGCTTCCTCCGTGGCTGTTGCTCCGGATCCCCCACTCGCTCTCCCTGTCTCGCCCGCCCTCTTTCTCAGCCGGTTTCTGGCCTCTCGGATGGCAGCATTCTCCACCTTGGCCTTGGTCGCGTTGCTGCCATCCAGCACCAACGACTGGTCCTCGTAGTGCCCAGGCAAGGACAGCACTGATGCCACTGCCAGGGCGAAGTGAGAGGCACCCACGCCACTCACGTACATGCCCCTGGGTACATCCCTGCCCTCCATGTTCTTGCCACTGCCAACCACATTACCACTGCTGCTGCTACCACCACTGCTACTGCTGCTACCGCCACCGTAGCCTCTGCTGCAATGACTGCCACTATCACCACTTCACTATTAGGGCCTATAGTGAAACACGTTGACATGCTCGCAGGAAGCAGTGTGGTACGAGCCACGAGCTTCAAGGCTTTTAGTACCGGCCATCTTCCCATCAGCCTTGAAGCTCCTCAATGTTCATTCTCCTGTCTGTCCCCTCCTCGTCCTCTTACCAATGTAATCTATGTAATCTCCACCGTCCCCTTTCCTTCTATTAGGACCTGAAGAGGGCGTGGGATGCCACATGGAGGGCCAGAGACGCACAAGTGGCAACCCTCCTTCCTCTCATTGGTTGGTCTGATATTGCTGTTTCTTGGCACAATGCCGCAATTCTATTCGGGTCATTGCAGCCGGAACCCTGTGTACAAATGGATCTGCATATATTGAGTGTGTGAGATGGATCTCTCGAGAGTGCCCAGCAAGGTAACCCAGCTGCCCCCATAGGCCCCTGTTCACCGAATAGGTCATCCGCTTCCTCTCCGCTATCCTCGTATTACATTTTCTAACCCCTTGTATATCCCCAATACCCGATCACTTCTAATGTCGTGCCTATTTTCCAATCCCCTCTGATCCCCTATCCCTAGTCCCCCTTCCTCTATGCCCTACCTTCTATTCGCTTTTCTTGCTTCTCTACGTCCTAGTTCCTATGTCCGATGCGCTAACACCTTTGCCCTATACCCTTTACCAGCGCCCTATATGCCGTTGTCGTATGCCTTCTCCCCTCTTAACACCGTCAAAATCCTTTGATACGCCCTCAACTTCACAACACATCATATCAGATCGCATCGCATCATAACATGTCAATGTGTCCACCTCGCCTTCACATGCTGCAGCTCCGAACTCCTTCCATTCCTTACCACCATCCTCTCCCCTCTTCGTGCCCCCACTCTCGCCCCCCCACTCTCCCGTTTTCCATTTCTCTTCTTACGCCCACTTTCCTTCCCCATCGTCTCTCTTCTCCCATTCTTTCCGCGCCTCCCCTTGAGTTTCCTGGCGTGCAGCACAACTCGCCACATTCTGCGGGTCCCTTACCTCCGTTTCCCCTTCCCCCTGCACTCTCCGCTCCTGTCTCCCACACAGCATGCGTCTCCGCCCCTCCACGGGCCGTTATGGCACCACGTGGCAGCGGGCAGCACATGGTGCTGCCTGCACATCACGTCTCCCTCTCCCCGCTCCACAACCACACCTGCGTTCTCACTTCCCCCCCTCTCCGTGTGCAGTCCACCACATGGCGGCGTGCAGCACTGTGCGCCAGAGGCCGCTACTTCCCCATTCTCATGCATCCTCATCTCCTCCCCTCCCCCCAATCCCCCCCCGCCTCTCTCTCCGCCTGCAGGTCACCACATGGCGGCGTGCAGCACAGCTCGCCACAGACTGCTGGCGCAGCTGGACTCGCAGCTGCAGCACTGCACGGTGGGGTGGGGTGGGGTGGGGTGGAGTTCAGTGTGTGCGGTTGGGTTCGGCTGCTGGCGCAGCTGGACGTGCAGGTGCAGCACTGCAGGGTGGGGGGGTCTGGGGGTGATGTGATGTTGGGGTTCTCCAATTGGGGGTGCGGGTAGGCTCCACCCACCCTCTTCCCTCCACACAGGTTCTTCCCTCCATCTACCCTCAACCCTTACCTGTGCGCCCCCAATACTGTCTGGCTGTCACGCGGGTCTGGTTGTTGGCACATGGGCGAGAGGCGGCCACACGAGAAGCTGTGTGGCGCTGCTCAAAGAGTAGCTACCACAGGAGATCCTTTCTGCCTCACCCTCATATAATACCTACCACAGAGGATTTTTTGGCCCTCGTCTTCCTTTTCCCTTTCCCCCACCCTTCTCCTCCCTTGCCCCCAGGTCTATCTGCCCTTCATCGGTCATTCCCTGTCTTCAACAGACCTGTGCCCGCTCGTGAGAAATAGCTGGTAGAAATGTCTAATTGTTTGCCCTGCTGCTTTCACCCTACCCTCCGTGTTTCTCTTGCATCGTGCGCACCTCACACTAAGAGCAGCGGCAGAAGAGATTATGTGTGTGGCTGAGTGGTTTCCCCTTTGCTCTGTGCCTCTCAGTCATGCTACTGTCTTCCTTGCTCGTCGTGCTTGCCCGCCTCCCCTCACCAGGCCCTTGCACGCACACTAAGAGCAGCGGCCGAAGAGAACATGTGCGTGGCTGAGGTGAGGCAGTGGGATGGAGGGGGAGGGGGGCGTAAAGGTCAAGGGTGGGAGAGAGTTGTGGGGGGGGGGAGGGGAAGGGCGAGTGAGGTGGCGGTTCTGAAGGTTGCCCGCCATCAAAGTGTGGACACCATGTCAGCATGGGACACGCCAGTCTGCATGGCAATGCACTGCCATTACTGTGGACACTTGTGTGCGACACGTGCAGCATGTTCTCATCATACGGTAACGCTTTTTGAAACATCACTGATTTCACGGTGAGACGGTCTAGGGTTTTGCTGTGGCTGGAAATTCGTCATCAGCGAGTTCTTGCGCGGCGTCACTGAGGGTGCTTTTGAGCCGCATGGCGGGCGGACAATTCTGGAGGCGTGAGGCGAGGGAGAAGAGAGTGAGAGAGTGAGCATGTGCATGCGATCCGTACCATGTGGTTGCGTGCAGGAGCTCGTGGCTGAAGCTGACGGCGTGGCCGCCACACACAGGGTGGACTCGCTGCTTGCCCACACAGCAGGCGCCGCCGCCGCAGCAGCAGCAGGGGGGGAA